GCGCCCTGTACGTTGGGCACGAAGTATAGGAAACTTGCATGGTTAAAAAGAAGGGCGCCGCCTACGTTGGGCATGATTCCGCCTCATTTTTGCAATGCGAGAACTCTATCTTGTATTTCTAGTATCTTTGGCTAATATTAATAACTTTTTCCAATATTTACAAAGTACGGAATTTAAATATTGAATTTAATTTTCATCATTGTTTTTAGCTCAACACAAGACACTATACTTAAACATACATTTTATTTTGACTGTATTGTTATTTTATTGACCTTAACATTCCACATGAAAATATGTGTACAGTATTAGCAGTATAGACTGGAGTTCGTATTAATACGTTTATTGGACAGTTTTAAACACTAAAGAAGGTTATGCAATCCACTGAGATTCCAGTTAATGGATTAGCCAAAATTTAATATTAAAATGTACTATTAAAATTATTTTTAAAATATTGGTGCCTTCTTCATATTTACACTATATTTTACATAGAGAGATGATCAATGATAAAAAAGATAAATATACAAATAAATTTCAATCTTATGAAATACAATATTTATCAGTACCTTCTCCATGTTTATCTGTATACTGGAACGCTTTCACAAGTCGTAGTGTCTCATCAACAGATCGTCCTACAGGTAGGTCATTAATAGTTATCTGACGCAAGATTCCCTTGGCGTCAATGATAAATAAACCCCTACAAAATTCAATACATCCAAAAATGTGAATAAATAGTCGATATGTCTGCTACAGTGCAAACAATAGCACTTGAGGCAAATTTATATTTACATACAGGTAATTAACACTTGCAAAAGTCATAATACATTATGAAAAGCATATTTGTATAATAATTAATAACAGAGCATTGTAAAAACAGTAGTATTATCTTATTAGCATCACAATATAGTCATATCCATCACCTTTAGTATGATCAGTACTACCACCATTTTTGTTATAATATAAATCATCCTACTGCTCATCCATCCATCGTCAAGTTACCAAATTTAAAAACATACAGTAAGCTTGAAAAGTGGCCCTTTAATTGTTGTGTGTGTTATATAAAGATTTATAAATACTGTATAATACAGAATTGCTAGCTTAACTGAATTTAGACATTCCTAAATATAAAAAATGTAAAATAAGATAAATGCAGATGAATTTTTCATGTTTGATTCTGCGATAGGTCTGCGAAGTAATATAGTACGTGCCGAAAACATTAGCCTATCCAACACTGCTAGGCTACTGTAGGCCCAGCCTTACCTCGATTTACTGTAGGTTCTGTTATCACACATAAAAATGGCCGACATACTATATTTTCCGTTGCTAGTATTGACACTTGTGAAATATAATATTTCATAGGAATTATTTCATTGTTAAAAAAACTGATTTTGACCGAGATTTTGACACTTAAACAAACATATCTCGGGCCTACTCGATCGATCGCAGTGTGCGGGATATGAAGTACAAAAACTAATCCCATTAGAGAGGGTGCACTTTATTAACTGTATAAAGAATACATACAAGCGAGAACATGCCAGCGGATGCGATCTACAACTTCTGAATTTGCCTAGTAACGAAGAATTCGTCGAGAAAATGGTAATCTAGGAGAAATCTGTATTTCTCTTTTTTTTTTATTCTTTTGCGTAAACTAAAATTTATGCCAATATTTTCCTATGAATTATAATAATTAGAGTAATGCATATGCATTTTTTCTAAAAAAATTCCTTTTTTGGTAAAATTTTGCCAAAAATGGGGCTTCAAAAATATGCATTTCAGATTCCTTCTTGGTACAGTATAAATAATATTATGTTGCAATGACTAGGACTATTTCCAAAAACTTGAATCCACCCCTTCCAAGTACCAATTGAAAATCAAAGAGGCATATTAATACACATACAATGGGAACACCCCTCTCTCAATAAACAACTCTATTTTGATTCAGTTCTTTTTCTCATTTTTTGTCTTTATATTTATTCATGAATTGTTTGGTCAACTCCATCTTTCGATATGGTTCAACAGGCATCTACTGTAAAGTCACATGTCACTATTCCCTTAAGATTGCCTGCATGTAGTCTCCACACTGATGATGTCAGTTGACCATGTTTGTTTGCTTGGGGGCCTAACAATGATGGCAAATTAAATTATGAGCATCATTTATTGTATTGGGAAAGGTTATCAGTTTATTTGCTACTTCACTGACCTTTTGGTGTAAGGAATAAATTTTTCAAAAAAAAAAATAAAAATGATCAGGCATTTTCAAGATGTCGGGCGGGTTGGGCTTAAACAACAAAGCATTTTTAACCCTTACAGTATGATTTCCATCACCAAAATCGTCATCCCTACCACCAAAATCATTATCCCCACCACTAAAATCATCTTCCCACCACCAAAATCATCATCACCACCACCAAAATCATCATTCCCACCACCAAAATCATCAGCACAAACAGTATTTCTGAACTAAGTATTCATCACTACCAATCCATTACTGCCAAGATCATTAGCACAATCATCACCATAGCAACTTGCCTGAATGAAACACCGTCTTCTTCAATGTATACACCATAGTCCTTGGCAATCGAGCAGTTTTTATCTGCTAGTAAAGGAATGTTCATTTTACCAAGTCCACCTTCTTTCCTTGGTGTATTCACCCTGATGGAAGGAATAAAATAATTCACAGGTCATTTCCAGGCTAAAATTTGTCTTGCCATAAACACAGTTGAAGCTATAATCTTGTGAACAGTGTACAATCAGAAATATTCTGCAAGTTTAACATGGAGATCTTAACAAAAGGGCTGCTTAGCGCCTTTTTGGTTCACAGACGTAGCAACAATCCTTGGTGGGTTCAATTTGAGATTTAATGGTTCAGGCATGTTAAAAATTGATTTATAGCACAATTAGTAGAAACTACAATCCTAATATTTCATTTTAGTCTGGCAACCTCAGCGGCATCCCTGCTTTTCCAATTGTTTGAATAATTTTATGCAAATTATTTCCATACTACCCAGGTTTTCCTTGATACTGTATACAGTAGAAGCATTTGAGTCTGTAACATGTACCATGTAATAATTATTTCTTACTTTCTTAATAAGTACCACAAAATGATTTTTAGTACCATTATCATATTATCAGAAGAAATCACTATAAATAGCTGACATACAGTATTTCTATATGGTTATATCCAACTGGTCATTTTTCATTCAACCATGCCCACCTGTGCATTGGAAATTCTTCCTTAACGAAGACATCACTGAATTTTGTTAGTAGTTACTTTGTTTAAATTTTTACTTTATGTGGACTAATATGGTATTGGTTTTTTCCTAATTTCCATTCGTTAATGCCCACTTTACAAACTAGCCCAATGAAGAAAACAAAAAGTACCAGTTGAATTGCCTATTGTCTTCCTACTTTAAAATTTTTCATTATGATATACTACCATATCCACTCTAATACTCACCATGCAAGATGACTAAAGTGAGAATCACAAGAACAAGCAATGACTTCGCAATTGATGTCTTTGAATTCACTGACTCTATCACTAAATGCAATTAGCTCTGTTGGGCAAACAAATGTACTGAAAGAACAAAAACATAAAAAAACCCCATAATTTTGAATTTTGAGGCACAATAGAGCTCATCAATACATCCCATTTTCTGAAAGGAAAAAAAACTACTGTTACAGTATAAGATTTACGGACACCTATACTCATCAGAAACTTAATCTGTTCTCAAATTTCCATTCTTTCCATATTAGCAATTCAACAGGTTGTTGGAAAAGGAATTAAAAATACAAATTGGGCTAATTTTCAGTAACTAACACACATACATTTTTCCATAACTATACCTTAGTGTATGAATCCAAGTTGGATTAAAAATGTCAGTAAAATTGAGCATTTATCCTGATACATCCAACCTAGTAACATACTGTAGGCTGTTCAACAGGGACCTGGGTATGATTCTAATGTAAAATTTGACAATTACGTAATTTTAAGGATACCATACAATATTTGACCTTCAATGACCTTACATGACCCATTTGTGGCAATCTGACCAGGTCAAAAATGATATGATGGTATTCCTCGATCATATAAACATACTCTTAGACATTAGAATTATAGTTCCAAGTGGTTTAGAAGCGGAGATATAGATAAACATAGGTTTATTAGGCGGCCATTTTGAAATCCAAGATGGCCACCATGGATGAGGTGGTTCCTACCAAAAATTGAATGCTATGACCATAAATGGTATGTAGAAAAAAATTGGTGCTTTTGTCCGGAACGTCCACATTAAGTCCAAATATGGCCCTAAGCTGCCGTACTAGGTCTGTAATATGAATAACCATGAAATTGCCCATACTATATATTTGTTTTCCTGCTGTAGGACACTTATGTGCTCTGTTGTTTGATATGTATTTGCATGTTACCACTCTCTTGGTATTAAATTATCAATTTTTTTAAGCGTTTCTGATAGGATACACTTACTGCCAAAAAATAAATCAGGAAATACCTAAAAAATGCAATTTAATTTATGAATAGAATATTTACACAGATTAAATAAGTTAATAAATTCCAAACAAGGAAAACAGACTAAAAAGAAATTTTGCTGATTAGATATAACCACTTTATTACAAAAATCCATAAAGTGATCACCAGATAATTTAAGGGTCTACGCAAAAGAATAATGTAAAGGTAAGACACACTTTACAGTATCTGCAAAAAAAAAAAAAAAAAAAAAAAAAAAAAAAATTATGAATAACACATTTAAAAGGTGATAAATTCCAACCACAAACATATAAAAAAATATCTTGCTGATTTACAGTCATTTATTAAAAAAAAAAAAAACCTTTGATCACCAGCTCATAGAAGGGTCTATGCAAAAGAATACCGTAGTAATCATTTAAATGTATCTACATTGAAAGCGAAAACTTTATTTAACATTGTTAATTGTCAGTTTTAATTTAACTTAATAAATTATTAACTTACATTAGCCAAATCAAAAATTGATTTTGAATTTTTCAATATTTCAGCTCATGACAGACAGTACTGTACACCTTTAACAATTGTAAGATTGGAGTGCATGCACTGTAAGCAATTGTTTTACGAGATACATATTAATATTATGTAAACAAAGCCTTAATTAAAAGCTTAGATGTCGTTGTGGTTAAACAAATTAATGTAAAGGAGGAAACAAAACCTTTTTTTAATACATTTATATAAGCCTATATTTTCTATATTGTGAATTTAATGTCTGTAATATAATACAAATATATTAATTTATATATACAATACAAGATATTTAATCTTTACATACCATATATTAGAATAAACACCTTTGGGTGGTTATTGTTGAGGGAGGCATTTATTCAAGGGAGGCATTTATTTTTTGGGGTGTAAAATGGATAACATACTGTATTCTCAAATAAATGGCACTTACTTTTACTGTAAATGTGGAACTACAAACAGCACATACTGTAATTACTGCGATGTTCATGTGACCATAAAAACTTAAACTGATTACCAACCCAAGTTAGAAAAAATGTAATTCTACGGGGGTCAGAATGTTGCTTCCATTAAATTTGTTTACAATCATTTAGGGGGGGCATTTATTCGAGGGAAAAATTAACACTCAAACAAATATTCGGGGCAGGTAATTATTCCAAATGAGGCTCTAGAGGGAGGTGGCATTTATTCAAATTTTGGCACTTATTTGAATAAATATGGTATTTAACCCATTGTTTAAGCACCCAGCAGTCCAAATTTTAACAGTCCAGTATGTTGTATTGCCGACACTATATTCCTTGATTGCTAGCTTCCAAGTCTTTTCTCATTTTTCCATACTATTCTTTTTAAAAATTCGAAATTTATAGCATATTCTGTTTTATGCCAGCTGCCACAATGCACAGTCTTTTAATGAGCTTTCTGTGTAAAAATATTCGGGAGACAAACTTATGCAGATTGGGCACAACAAATCCTCTTTTTACTGTACACACATGTAAAGTAGCCAAATAATCTGTGGCCATATACTGCTTTTTCTCACGGCCGTTAAAATTCATATTTGTCCACGTTAAATAATATCGAGACAACAGTACATGTGAACTTTCTCTATTACTGATTTTCCCTTTAATTTTCTCATTAAAATTATGTTTACAATTACTGCTGGTCAGGTATCTAGTCACTTCCCTGCAAATCAAATTAGAGTATGCTTGATTATTGTTGCTATAAAATTTTGTCAGGCCCAAACTATTATAATAATGAAAATTAATTGGCGAACTGTAGAGCATCATAGATATCATTCACCATGGAGACACGTTGTACAAACACTATCATTGAGTCTTGACTCAAATATACAAAACAAGTCACTTCCTAGCTTCAACGAAACTAAAAAGTGCAATTCATACTGTTTCCTTTCTTTATTTTGTAGTTACTTAATGCATTTTAAAGCAAAAGCAAACATTATTTTGGAAAGATCTCCAGAATAAAAATGAATTTCTATTTTCTTAGTAAAATTATTCCATCAAAAGCATCTACTGTATATAATGTACTCATAAGACGAGGTTTAAAATAGCAAATTACTATAAAAAAAACGGGGGTCGTCTTTTACGCACGATATACTATTTATGTTCATCTTATGTGAGGATCATCCATAATGTGCGAGATTTATACTACTACAATGAAGATGTTAGTACATTTATGAATGAACGCAACTTTAAATACTGTACAGAGAAGATGTTGATGAACATAATGACTCGTAAAATGGTAATATTTAGAAGATTAGCCTTGTATTTGGCTCCATTTTTAGCCAACTAGATGGAGTATCAGGACCATAAAAAGCACAAAAAAGTAGGAATTTCAAACATGAATTGTTTATGTGGAGATTGCTATTGCGGCCATCTCCTTTGCTATTGCTGTAAAGATCACCATAATTCCCAGCAAACTAAAACCAAATTGATTGGGAATTGAACTTGTGAATTTTGCCTAGGGTTTGTCAATTGCTGCAAACATTGAGATTTTTTGACAAATGTTAGGCCTACATTACTGCAGGTCAATGCACATCTACGGCCTGTTTTAACATGAGAGGTACACATTTTAAGGCTGGTTATAAGTTTACGAAGGAACACATAGATTTCAAATACAATGCTAGGAAAACGCTAGGATAAGTAAATAAACACTATTCTGAACAAATGTATTGACTTTCCTTGCCATCTATTTCTCATGTTAAAAGTGGGTGGTTGTTTTTGTTACCATATAAAACATTACCATCTCCTACAGTATACTTTCACACTGTATGTAATGTTTTCAATGTTACAGCACAGTATACCCAAGTTATATCACATTACTGGCTGTAAACAAACATCGCCGAATTGGTCTTATGTAATTACTGTATACATAGAGCAAAGATAATTACAATTAGCGTGTAATTGGATTTTAGATAAGGGTGCAGGTCATTGCAACTCCTTCTGTTTCTTTGCTCTATGCTGTATACTACATTATGTTATGTACATGATGGTATTAAGGCATGTTTTATTACATTTAATCTTGTCTTACATAATTATTTTAAAATACTGTATATATATTATATTCTGTTGGCAATAATATGGGAGAAAGTCTATGAACTTTTCAACTACTCAACTTCAATGCAGAACAGGAAAATGTCTACAGTATATTTTATATAAAATGTGCTATTCTCTACCTCACTTCCTTAATACTGGAATACTGGTCTGTTTTAATTGGTAATACAGTGAACTTTTTCAGGATTTGACAACTTCCTCAGTTAAGACTGTGTATACAATTCTGGTTCTGTCTAATAGCTCATTTTCTTTTTTTTCTTATATAAATTAAAAAAACATGATAATTCCTTCTTCAAGTTATAGACCAGATAATGTAGATTCACAATATAAATAACTGAGTAGAGTATAGTTTTTAAACACTCTCTTATTAACGAACACGGACTTTTCTTTTCTGCCCTTGTCTGCCCTCTCAAATCCTGACTAGATCCCTAACCATACATACATGTACCATAATGGTTTAAAAATCATTTTGGTACTCCAATCCATTCTTGTTTTTGAACAAATTATACCATAAGATAACCATTTTCTCAAAATATTTAAATGGGGAAAACACTTGGATCATCATATTGGATAACCAACAATCACAAAACGCTACAGTAATAACATTTGCATAAACATTGTGAACGTTGCAATTAGGTTATGTCGGAAAACAACGATAACAAACACTTTACAACAACGTTCTGGCTCTCAAGAGATCAATTCAAATAATATGGCCAGGAAATTAATACTTCTATTAGTTTTGAATGAATATTATTTAGAAAACCATACAATAGGAATATAATATCATATATCTTACAGAATTATACAATACTGTATTCAAATTTTCTTTTAATGTTATTTGTTAAAAAAAATAAATCAGTTAGAATATCAAAATTAACTGTTAGAAGCTAAATGTTATTAAATACTTACAAATCAAGTGGGTAGAAGAAAAATACCAGGTACTTTCCTGCAAGAAAAAATAAATTATTTATAGAGTATTGTAATATTTAAATTTAAAATATTTATACCGCAATATCAAATACTATGATGTGGCACCTTACTTTAATAACAGTTTTAGAGACTCCAGTGTGGAGGTTATTTAAAAGGAAGACACACTGCATTTGAGAGGAGTGCTAATGACACATTTTTATGTAGCAGCAAAACACTAAAACATATGATGTGCTTACACTAGGTCTATTTGACTTGTTAACATTTGTTGCAATGTTAGTACTTATCCGAAGTAAATCGGTTAGTGTCTGGATGATACGAAACTTGTTAACATTTGTTGCAATGTTAGTATTTATCCAAAGTAAATCGGTTAGTGTCTGGATGATACGAAACTTGTTAACATTTGTTGCAATGTTAGTATTTATCCGAAGTAAATCGGTTAGTGTCTGGATGATAACGAAACATCAAGATTTAAGTGTATAATATCTTACTCTCCATAAAGGCTGGCTTTGATGTTTATTTAAAATCTCTCAGAAGTCCAGCGAAGCTTTAAGTTAAATGCTACTTGAATAATATTTGTGTGGCATTTATTACATCATTTATTTGTATAATTCATCAGATTTCACTTTTGATAATTGTGTAGTAATAATAATAATTAGCTTTACGGAAAAACAGTTTCAACAAAAGTTCCTATTCTACAAGTCCATGTACTTTACAGTAACAATCTGTGTAACATTTGATAACAGTTTATACTTTTTATAACAATTATAAAAGCGGCTTTATATTTTTTATATGAATTTGATATTACAACAATGACTACTGTAGAATAAGACGATTAATAAACATTTGAAACAGCACAGTTAGCAATGATTCATTTCTTGTTTAAAAATACAATGCTTCAAATGAGTGCTAGACTCAATATCATACTTTTTTTTTAAATTGATTACTATCTTCCTGTATAATTCTTAAACAATATCTGAAGGTCATTCTTTATTCTCAATGAATGTTGTTTACAATAATTTTCTCTTCAGCAATTACTGAAGCACTTCAAGAATACTGTAATGTAGATAGATGACCATTTTGAGTTAAATGTTCATTACTACCTGTAACCAAGTTTGAAGAGGTTTGTTATACTGTACATTACCGTACTCTGAAGCTGTTAAGGAAATGAGGTTCATGAGGAAATGATCAATAGGTACAGTATTAGATCAAATGACTGCTTAATTCACCTTAACAATAATGCACCACATTTAGCCTAAAGGTAATGAAAACAGTTACTTAGACCTACTCAATTTTCCTATTGTTACTGTATGTCAAAAAAAAAACTAATAATACAAAAAATGACAAAGCACTTTGGATTGCAGATGGAATAAAAATAAGTAATATTAAATTCAGTCAAAAAAAAGCAGCATGATTATTAACACATTTTGTCATTACTGTATACTCCTTTAATTAAAAAATACATAATATAGGTTATTAAAAAATATGGTGTATGATAAAGATATTAAGAGTGTTCAGTATTTTGATATTCAAGATCATTACTGATGTATGATGATTAACTATTAAATTTAATTACAATGAAAAAGTATTTAAAATACAAGGTTTGGTACTTAATAAAGTAAAGGTGGTATGACTGATGAATTGAAGTATAATAATGATGGTAATGATGATGATGATCATTATGATGATGACGAGGATGATGATAATGATGGTGGTGGTAATTTAGTGATTGTTGACAATGCTTAAATTAACTGATAATTAAGATCACGATGATGGTGGTGGCGATGACGATGATTGAAGATGATAATTGAAAATGATGATGATGGTATAACTGTATCATGATCATGGTAAAAAACTTTTAGTTCTCAATACATGGTTAAAGAGTAAAATGAGAGCTATAAAATGGTAAAAGAATCATTTAAATCTGACATTTCGTTATGAAGTTACAGGAGTTTAAACATACAGCTGTTTAAAGAACAATGTTGGAGAAATCAGCCTTTTAAGTTTATGATTTCGGGCATTTCTCAGGCAGAAACCATTACCAAATCGTTAAAAATTGTTGTTTCAGTTAAAATGGGGAAAATAACAGCATGCATAAGATATACAGTATAAAGGTACAGTTTAGCGTGCAATGAAATAGATTTCAACAATTTTGACATTGCAGCATGTTTTGTCCATTATCTCTGAAACAGGAGTAACTGGTTTGGCTTGTCTTATGCCACAAATGGTGATTACTGTTGTCTGTACAGTTGTTAACACACTGCCTGCCAAAGACGGAGATCTCCGTGTTTGGTAACGCAAATCTTGACCGCCAAACATGGAGATCTCCGTGTTTCAGGATTTTTTTACGGAATCCAATAGATGGGGTAATTACCGATATGTACTAATAATTTGAACACTATATTCAGTCTGGACCGTGAGTATTTCACTATTTATTTATCTACATTAACATAGAGCAGTATTGATTTACTTTCATGATCGCGATTATCTTCATTGTGCGAAATTGCATAAATCTCCAAAAGTGAGTCATTTTCCTTTTACTGTTACAGGTCAGATTGTGATTTACCATTGTAAAGCTAAAATGTTTTTGGTTCTTGTAGTATTCACTACATGTCAATCTAATCACATACAACTCTCATCGAGCTTCGGAAAAGTGTAAAAATTTGCTAAAAAGTCTGGCGGTGGCTGCTACTACTTTTTCAAACCCCTGGTGGTCAGAGTGTTAAGGTGATGATGCTGCTGATCATAAGATCTACATTACTGTATAATAATAAATGATAATGATGATCTAAAGTGTTGATATAGTTTAAATAGGATTTCCACATGCTACTGCAAAATCAATATGTAAATTTAATACCTTTATAATCAGACAGATTAATTTCCTTGAAGTCATTATTTGCAACAGCAGTTCCACTGAAGTATGGAGCTGGTTTGGTGATCTGGCATTTCCCTGACGACATTTTGATTAAATATTTTGTTTTTAAAAATACTGGTCTGAAAAAAAAATATGAAAGAGATGGATTTGAATGCTATGTGCAAAAGATGGTAATACACTTACAGCTGTAAAAGCACACAAGACAGCAGTACAGTAGGCCTACAGTGCGGTGTACTTACTAAAAACAACTTGCAAAATCAATATTTGAACGGACAGATGCTTTTACTCTGCTTGAGTAAATTTCAAACTCCTCAAACTTATTTATTTGAACATTTTATCGTAAAATAACTTAAATCGATAAGCCTTGGTAAAAATTTCTAATAAAATTTTTGACCAGTTAGATTGAAAATGAAGTGAAAAAACAGATGGAAGAGTTGAACATGTTTGCATAGCCTCATCATTCGTCACAACTCTCTAGCCCTAGACTAGAGAGTCATGAATACAAACAACGTTCTTCTGACACATTGGCATCTTATCCCACAATTAGGAATTTAGGTTTGTCCATATTTCACATCCAGAAATTGCAACAAAAATGTGTGCTTCTAAATGAACACGCGCCTAAGACAGCGCTGGATGTGGCGAGTCCCGTGAGCGATTGGCCTACACGTGAGAAATAGTAAACATTAATAATCAACGACGCGACTGCCCCCGACGGAAACATCACATCTGCGTTTAACTCACACAGACCCGACGCTACAACAAATCGCATTGGGCTGTGTCGTACGACGCTGTCTGAGTTGGCCCTTAGAAGGCCTCTCAAAACTCTTTAAAAAAATATTTTAGTCTGAATGGAAATTTAAATCAAATCAACCTTTGTCTTATGAATCTATGAATCATAGACATTGTTATAAAATCTATCTTTATGCTATTAAACTTCATTTACATTTTAGCATACAGTAGCTCTTTGGCCAATGTTTACAAATTCCAAAATGGCGATGTCATTTTTGGTGAATAATTTCTATTGCAATTGCACAAAATGTGATGTTAAAAAAAAGGTCTTCCGTTTTTTTTAAAAATTAAAATGTTATTGTTAATTATTTACTATATCATACAGTATAGGGGATTTAAGTATACTTTAACAATACTTAATGATTTACTGTACTGTATGTTATCTGTAATGTCTGTATATCATAGAGGATTTTTTTTTACGTACATGAACAACTCAGTAATTTAGTTTCTACATCAGTGCCATGAATTATTTTATTTACTTATATTTGTTCAATAAAATATACCAAAATATACAAGGACTATATGCTTAATCTATACAACTCATTGAAGTTAACCATTTATAAAAATGATAACAGATCTGAATTGTTTATTATAAAAACCTTCCATAATCTCAATTCCTAATGTAAAAAAATCCATAAATGATTTTTTTTTTTATTGTACAGTACGGCAGCTACGGTTAGCAGGATCCGGATCATGCTAACCATTAGCTGCTGTGCGTCCACGCGAGAAAATCCCAATCCGGATACCAACAATATGATGATCGAATCACTGGCCAATAAGAAACTGGAAATTGTAAACGCGTATGTGTGATTGGTTGATGATATAAACGCCCTCAATTTGCTAACAGATAGCGCTTGTTAACCGTTAGCGTATACGGATACTGATAACGGTTAGCGCTAACCGATCGAGCGTTCTCTGGCAGGTGCTAACGGTTAGCGCTAACGGTTAGCTCCCGATCCAGATACTAGGGCTCTCGTGAGAACCAGGCTATAATGTTTTTCTTGTGCATTCTGCACATGCCTAATGCAGCAGTACTGTATATCAAGAAAATAAATCCTCATGAACATGGGCACTACAGTAACACCAGAAAAATGCAGTTAAACAATTTGATATTCAATTCTACTAAAATGTTTTTATTTTTACTTGCTTGATGGCAGTCAGTTCACCTTCAAGTTGTTTATGCTGTGGTTAATTATTAATTATGCTGATGGCTACAGAAACTAGACTAATTGAAAACTGAAGAATATTTAATAGCAACCACATAATTGCCTTCCTTTGCCATTCTTTCTGTTTCTATGAAGGTTGATCAGCATGTTGGAATTGCAATTATTGAATTCGATATCATACTGTATATCTATGATGATGAGTATATTTTCTGATTATTTTTCCCTGTGAAATCCTGTTGCACAAACATTTTAAACTCATCAGCCTTGAATTACTATCAGATTCAGAGCATTGCTTTTACAGTACATATCACACAATATGCAAAACTCTTCTCTCTACAAAAACAGGCATACTGACATGCATGGAACACAATCACTTATTAATAAGAATTACAATTACAATAGATAAATAGTAAGTTATTTAATATAAGTAATTTAATCAATAATATATAACTAAATTAATTAATTAAATAAAACATCTTTACATTTTGTCTACTGGTATTAAAACTCGAAACAATGTTTAGAATTATTAAAAAGAAAAACTGTCATTCCCCCAAAAAACCAAAGCAGCATTACAATTTGCATACAGTATCAGTGAAAGCTAGTTTTATTCATGTGATATCGTGACGTGTGTCTTATAATATTGAGAGCGCAATTATGCTACAGTTACTGTAGTGCTATGTATTTGTTTCATTTTAGGCTAGACCTTTTTATGCCTTGTTTTGCGAACCCGCCGACTGCAAATATTGATTATTTCAAATAAAAATAAAATTTTATTTTTAGCCAATTATCCCATCCGTCGCTACAAAAAAGTGGAAATTTCAGAAAAAAATAAAAGTTTTTCTTTAATTTTATTGCGCCCTCCGCTACCTTGAAATCTCCAAAAATAAGATATGTATATTTCTTCCTAATTACATAAATTTGAAGCATTTAACCATCCTATTTTACATTCACTAATAACATTATATTTTTAATTTCTCCTCCGTCTGGATTTTTTTGGCAAAACTAATTGCTAAGAAAACAAAAGTTTATTTTAATTTAACTTCATTTCTTTAGGCACGAGCGCCAGTAAGTTAACATAATGACTGTACTACGTGGCATATCCATTTAACAACAGGGGACATAATGGACCAGTACACCGGGGTAAAACCCTACTCTTCTCGAAGGATGTACTGGGTTCTTTAAAGTGCACACGAGCCAATGCGTACACTGGGCCTACGGTTTAAAGCCCTTATCCAAGAAGACTTGTTCCACTACCGGAACCATTAAGTGAGCTGTTCGAACCAACGCGGATAATCCGATATTAGAGCTGAAGGTTGTGGTGCCCCCGACTTAACTGCTCGGCCAATCAGGAATCAATTTTTATTCTGCCCTCCTTCGATGATGTTTAAAAAAAAAATAAGTATGCGAAACATTGAGGAATAAAATAAGTCTCGTCTTTAAAGGGTGTAACGTATGTAATGTAATCTAATCATAGTACAGTAGGCCTACTTTAATGATACGAAATGTTTTTAGTGCCAATATGCGAGTCTCCAAGAGCTTAAATACATTTATTTTGTCTTTGGATCAGGCCCTGGAAGATGTGCATAAAGCTGCTTCAGTTTGTAAAGTATCCGAACGGTAATCGGAAGGTCTTGGGTTCCAATCCTGATGGGGTCATACGTTTTTCTCAAATATAGAGTATATTTTATCGAGGGTTAAGCCAGAAAAACGAAAGAGACTGTCAAAATGGAAGACGAAAAACTTGTCGCGGGGCCACGCCCCACCTCAAACAGGAAAAATAAATGGAGTAGGTAGATGTGAGAGGTGATGACTGTTTCAGTTTCAGACAGCTAAGAAAATTCAGTACATCTCTGGCATCACTGGAGCATCTTTGTAAAGTACGTTTATGGGAAACAGCAGCATATTCATATGTATTGCTGTTGATAGAACTCAATCGTTCATTAGTTTAATTTCAAGGTCATCATGGGAGATCTTCCTTTAGGCAGCTGATGCTCTCTCAAACCAGGGACACCTCCGGAGTATTCGTAGATTTCATGTACATTTGTGTGTTGTTGCTGATTTGCTAGTGGGTCTCCAAGCTCTCTGTTTGTTGGGGAGACTGCACTAACCTTGAGTCTGTTGAGGTTAACCCAAGTCTTTACTACAACCTTTCAAGTTACAGAAAGGGCAGTCAACAAACTGCTTAATGTACAAAGTTCATTGCTTGGACCATTAGTCTTTGATCCTAGACCTACATTTTTCATTAATAATTTCTATTGCCTAAACCTAGCATAGGCCTAGGCCAGGCATACTTCCACAGCTCTAGCGTATATTCTAGGATTAGGCTAGACAGGCTAGGCCTAATAAATAGGAAGTCCTTTACTCTTCTTAGGGATGCATTCAGAGGCCTAGAGTAGGCTATGCCTAGCTCGCCGGTTCCACCTGAACTGAAGAATTAGAAACCGGCGTCTTTTGACTACCAGCGATACAGCAGTAAAAATGCAGTTGAATAAACAATTTAGTGACTTACCAAAAACAATGTTATACTCTTTTGATCAAAAGTCTTTTACAAGCAAACGCTGTGTGCACTGATCACTGTACTAAATAAATTACTAAAAAATCTCAACAAGAAGATTTGCTTACCGCGTCAATAACCATGCATCAGCATGCCTCCTTCTCTGCCGCCGTCCGTTTATTGGCTAAGACTTACGCCCCTGTCTCTTATACACATCTAGATGTGTATAAGAGACAGTGCTAACGGTTAGCGCTAACGGTTAGCTCCCGATCCGGATACTAGGGCTCTCGTGAGAACCAGGCTTAAGTCTTTAGTTGTGTACAG